AGAATGCGATAAAAATTCCATACGTTAGCTGGTTATTACTTATTTCTGATCACCAACACATGACAAATTATCACAAATACACCACATGGGGAAATAAATTTATTTTTGTTAGATTCTGGAATCTATCCATTTTTGAAAGTTTTGTTTACAAGTACAAAATTAATATACTAAATAACGATAAACCGAAGCCTGAAAACATCAGGTTTTAATGAAGTTCAACATGGCGCATTTTAATACGACGAGGTTCAGTTCGGGAGTCACCTCTTCATGTCCTATTAACACTGATTATTACAAGTTTTTCGTAAATTTTTGCATTGCTTAGAGCGCGGTTAAACTTGAAGGATCACCTCATATCGACTGATATGTTAAATTGAAATGAATTCATTTTCAAAATATAGACTGATTTCATTTCCTTGTATATTCCTATTCGTGCGAGTTCTTATAATTTCAGATTTTCATTCACGTTTTCGAGCTTAATCTCGCGGCAAAATACTATCCTTGGGAACGGTCTTCCATTGAATGGTTATAAAACTTTTCAAATCCACCTAACACTTTATTGCAAAAAGCGCGATCTGCGTGTCCTAAAAGATCTAGAAACTGACTGAAGCCAATGGCAACTAAAGCCTCGTTTAAGGATCCATGATAACGAGGCTGGATAGATAAGTTGCTATTGGTCAGAGTTACTTCTCCCCAGTTTCTTCTCTTTTCGTAAGGTCGTCAAAAAGACTCGAAAAGGGCTTGGACACGGTCCGCGTTTTGCCTGGGATCGCCTTTAAGAAACGTGTAAATCCCCGGATGTAATTTCTCTGCACGTGTTAGTACAATGGAGTAATCAGCTTCGGTAACCAGCTGTAGGTCCTGACGTAACTGTCTCTTAGCCGCGTCATTAAGTGGTACTGTACCGAGCGACCTGGAGAATGATTAGAAACGGTCAAAGGTAACGGTTCACATAACAAGACCTAGGAAAGTTCCTGGTTATTTCAGCTGAGCTATTGAAAACTTGGGAGATAAGGAATTTTCTAATAGACGGAGTTTTACACAGTTCCGACGCTATTCCAAATGCCTGAACTGAACTCATTTGGTGGATCCTTCTCAAACAAACTTCG